CATGTTTGATAATTATAAAATGAACTAAACTAAATATATCTATGAAAAATAAATGACATCATCAAGGAAATAAAGTTAACAAAATTGATCAGCAAAGATGATTATGTCAATAAAGTTGCCCATTACACTGGAAATAAATTGACATCTGGATCTACAATGTTTCACATTGATTATTTCAGGACATAAAGTTGACATTAGGATCGATGAGATGATAAACAAGAACATTTAATTGACATTAGATTTGTAATCAGATTTTAGCCAAAATTTTACACTGTTACATTTCCTTCTTCTTTGATTTGAGCTCTGTCGAAGAATCTTTCTTTCTTCTTTTAATACGTTTGGATAAAGCCGATGGAGTAATTCCAAGTTCTTGAGCATACTCCTTTTACGTTTTCCTTTTCCTAATAAGTTCTTTAGGAATTTCGCTTATAACAAATTTTACTTCAGTGTTCTCTTGATAAACTTCATCTATTATAGAGATTAACTCTTCAGAATTAGTCTTTTCCAAAAGGTCGAGTATGATTGAAAGAAGTTTGGCTTCATTTTCTTCAATTATATGTCTTGCATTTTCAACTTTTTCAATGTCAGATTTGTATTTGTTGATAAACTGATTCATTTGTTGGAAATTTTTTAAACTCATTTTGTAAAATTTAAGGTTTTGACAAAAGGAATTTCAGGTCCTTTTATACTTTTGACAATGTTTATTTCAAATGAATCACAGGATTCCAATTTTGTCGATCATTGTAAATCTTCAACAAACTTGCATTGATTGGTGTTTTAAGAATTCATTCATCTGTAAATCTTAACTTATAAGCTCTATTCAACAATTTGTCATGAAAATAAAATGGTCCTTTCTATTTATCTTCTAATTTTCAGTCTAAGTCTTTTCTTTTGCAGCTTCATACAATAGGACTTTGTCTCCTATTTGATATTTTATGGTTTCTTTATTTTCAAATCATGCTGTCTCTTTTGATTTTCCTGCGCTTTTGTAACATTTTCTTTTGCTTTCTGTCGATTTATTTCTAAATCTTCTAAATTTGATTCCAAAGTTTCATTTTCAAAAATGGTGATTGGAAGTCTTGCTTCTCTTTCATAAGTCAAATAAAATGGTGTATACTTAATAGTTGAATTTTTCGCAGTTCAGTAAGCAAATAATACTGAATTTATAACAGTATCCCATTCTTGTAAATCTTTTGTTATCTTTGCTATAGATTCACACAAGGTTTTATTAAATCTTTCAACTAATCCATTAGTTTGAGGATGATAGGGTGTAGATAATAAATGCTTGATTTCAAACTTATTTATTAATCCGTCTACTACTTTATTTTGAAAATGTGATCCTTGATCAGAAAGTATATATTTTAGACATCCATGTTGATATATTATATTTTTATAAATAAATTCTACAACTGTGTTTGCATTAGCTGCAGGTTTTGCACTCGCTTTAGGCCATTTGGTTAAATAATCAGTTGCTATGATTATGTATTTGTTTCCATTATTTGTAAGTGGTAAAGGTCCTACAAAGTCTATTCTGATTTTCTCAAAAGGTTTTTCAACTGGTATAGGATGTAATAACGTTTTCTTTGAGGGTTTCCCTCTTCTTTGACAAGAGTGACATCCTTTAATATAATTTCTAATATCTTCAAACATTTGCAGCCAATAATAGTTTTCTCTAATTTTTACAAAGACTTTTTCAATTCCTAAGTGTCCTCCAGTTGGGTGATTGTGTGTTGCATAAAGAACTGTTTCTATTTCATGAATTTTTAGAACTTTAAGAAAGTTTCCTTTGTTTTTCTTGTTTTTCCTAAACAATTAATTTTCTAAAATCACAAAATATTTTGATTGTCGTTGAATCTAATTTGCTAATTTTTTATCATTCAGTAATACTGAAATAGTTAAATATTCTTTTAACTGATTATATCGATTTTCTTCCATTTTGTTTAACTTAAGTTATCAATCACATTGTTAACACTTTCACTTTCACTTAGTTAAAATTTTCAAACGTTGAGACTTTCACTTACTAATTGCTATTCAAGTAGGTGTTAACTCTTTAAAATAAAATAAAATATATAAATAATATTGAAATTTACTATTTTAAAACTAAATAAATGTTAAAATAAATAATAAAACTAATAATTGGGATGCTAAATCTGCTACGAGTTTCATCAAAATTGGATGAGTAAATAGGGGTAATAATAGATGCGAACAGTCTAAACATTTCATCTAATTTATCTTCAGTCCAATCATGTGTTTGAGGATTGTTAATCGGTTTCAACAATTCAACTGCTGCAAGACATACTTCATCATCTTTTGAGTATATCCCAAAATACTTCATTAATTAGAGTTTCAGGTATCATTTCAGGATGTATTTGTCCAAGATTGTATCTAACAATACATTCATGATCTAATTCAGTGGTAATAATTGTTCCATAAAGGGTACAATTGACAGAATACTCTTGAGCAAATTCTTCAAGTTTGTTACCATTCATTCGTTTAATAGTAGTTTGCCTGAATTCAGCAGCTTTTAAGAAAATGTCATGCAAGTCCTGTCTCAAATCTTGTTCTCTTATATCGAGAATGGATTCTATTTCTTCTTTGCTAAAGTTAAATTCTGATTCACTGTTATCTTGTAATCGTTCAGGTGATTGTTCATTTTCTTTTCCTTTTCATAAGTTGTCATATTTAAATATTCGTAATATTCATATTCGTTACAATGACAAATAGTTTGTTCTGTTAGTGAGAATATGTAATTTCCATATGGATTGGCACATTGATAACATTCAGTTGTATACCAATGAGAAGGATGGTCATTTTCATTACAATCGTAGCTGTTTTTTGATACTTTCAGTTATTATGCAATCCACTTCATTGCCATTTCGTTTGGCATCCAGAAATATCTAATGCAGTAAAATGTACTTGGATCCATTGATTATTTTCTTCTAAGTCTTCTTCATATTCAGATGATGAAATATTCTCTTGGATTTCTCTTTCTGTATCTGCAAAATTTTCTTCACTAGCAATTGAGAGTGTGAAGCATTCGATTATTTCTTCTGAGCTTTTATCATTTTCATAATTAATTCTTGATAATATGTCAGCGTTTGCGTTATTTTTTCCAGATTAATGTTAAACTTGAAATGTATATTGTTGTAAAATTAATAACTATCTTGCTCTTTTCATTCTATTTTTCACAATAGAAGTTTGTAACCATTTTAAAGCAGCGTTATGAGTTACTAAAATAAAAGTTTAAGTGAAGTGAAGTGATGAAAATATTTGACTGCCCAAATAATCGCCAGGCATTCTAATTCTTGTATGCTATAATTCTGTTCATATTCATTTAAGGTTCTACTTGCATAAGCAATTACCTTTTCTTTTTCTTGATCATTTTTTTGTTTTTTGTGCAAGTACCGCTCCAAGTCCAATTCCAGAGGCATCAGTAAATAAATAGAAAATTCTATTAAAGTCTGGATATCTAAGTATTAGGACTTGTGTCAACTTTTCTTTCAAGATTTCAAAAGAATCTTTACATTCATTGCTCCAGTTATATTCAACTCCTTTCTTTGTAAGATTGTTTAATAGTTTCGCAATCTTAGAGAAATCTTTGATAAATTTGCGATAATACGATGCTAATTCCAAAAATCCTTTAATCTATCTTACATTTTTAAAAATAGGGAAGTTTTGCACTTTCTCTATCTTTTGGGGGTCGGGTTGAATTCTATGTTCATTGATTTTGTATTCTAGAAATCGTAATTCTCTTTTGAACATTTCACACTTCTCTTTGTTCAATGCTAAATTTGCAATTTCTAATTTATCGAAAAGCATTTGTAAATATTCGCAATGTTCTTCAAAACTATTTCAATAGACAATAATATCATCAATTAATACTGCCACAAATCAGTCAATGTATTCTTTCAATACTTTGTTCATTGTTTTCTTAAAGGTTGCTGGTGTATTGCATAATCTGAAAGGTATAACATTAAATTCGTAATGTCCTCCCTTGATAACAAATGCAGTTTTCCCTCTATCTTTTTGGTTCATTTCAATTTACCAGAATCTACTTGCTAGATCAAAGGTAGAAAACCATTTTGATCCATTCAAACTTTCTAATATCTAATCAATTCTTGATAGAGGGTATGCATCTTCTCTTGTGAGTTTGTTTAATCCTTTATAATCAATGCATAGACATTTTTTACCATTTGCCTTTTTCACAAGATTAGCTGGAGATTCCTAGGGACTGTCTGATTCTTGAATAATTTCTTCTTTCAACATCTTTTTAATTTCACCATCAATGAAATCTTATTCTTCTTTTGTAGTTCAATAATAATTTTTTCTAATTGGATCAGCATTTTTAGTATCAATTCGATTTTGGGTTACATTAGTTCGTCCAACTTTTGTCGATTGCCTTGTTTTAGAAATATTGGTCATGAATCTACTTTTATTTTTTTGATTAAATTATCAATTTCCCTTTGTTGTTTTATAGTAAACTTTTCATTTTTAACATAAGGTTGAATAATTTCTGCAATATTACATGATAAGGTATCCCATAAAATTCTGTTCAGAATTTCATCTATAAAATTTGTATGAGTAGGAGTGGTTTTTTCTCATTTTGCCATATCTTCATATTTTAAGAAGTTAAAATGAATTTATGGTCCATTTTTGTCCTTTTCAATTTGCTCCAATTCTACATCTTTTGGTATTTTTGTAATGTAAACGTTACAATTAAATTCAGAGTCATTGAATAAATATTCAAGATCTTTATCTTTAAGAATTATTCCAGTTTCCTCTTCAGTTTCCCTAATTGCTGCTTTTATTGGGATTTCTCCCTCATCTACTTTTTCGCCAGGAGTTTGCCATAGTTCCTTCATAATTTCTCCTTTTCTGATTGAGAGAAATATGCTATCTTGGTCATACAAAATGTTTAAAACATATTTTGGATCCTCTGCTTCTTCTTATAAGATACTTCTTTCATATTCTTCCATTTAATCTGCTCAGGATTGAGTAAAGGTTTCACTTTCATTATCAATATCACTTTGATAATCTGAAGTTTCAATAAGATAACTTTCTCTTTCCTCAGCGTCATTGTCAGTATTGTATTCTAATTCTTCATCAATCATTTGGTCGATTTCTTCATCAAATACAATGGTTGGTGTTCTATTTCTTACGATACATTGTACTGAAACAATAAATTTGTCGAGACCACTTGTTATGAGTATTTCATTATTGTCAAAGTCTACATTAACTTTATTTTTCTTGCACCAATCTATTTCTAGTAATAAGGTTTTATCTGTTGATTCGATGACTTGAAAGGTTGTTTTGATAAGAATTCCATGAATAATTAAAGGTACAATTTTAATTACTCCTAATGCTCTTTCTCTTTGTCCATTAGCTGTGACAATAATCACTTGTGATGCTTCTTGAATTGTTAATCCAAGGTTTTCATTAGCTTTTTCGTCATAATGCTAACTGCTGCCCCAGTGTCAATGATTGCTACTACTGAGTTCCGTTTGATATTAACATGATATCTCAATGCTATAGTTCTTTCACCTTCTTCATTCGGATTGATTTGTGCCATAATTCCTTTTAATTTTGGTCGTCTCATTTCTTGGAGAAGTTTTCTTTGTTGTTCTTTGCATTATATCATTT